TTTTTCTAACTGAGCGAGTATATAATTTTATAATAACTAACGGGTAACGCAGGTTCAGAACATAATTTTTCAAGTTGTTTCCAACGAAGTTGCAGAACATAAATGGGCAGTCTGCTGTTCTCAAAACCAACAACTGCAGCATCGATTTAGTAAGATATTGTTAGTATATTTTTTAATAAATAAATAAATTATTATATTCTTATTAAATTAGAAGGAAAAAAATGAATACTTTCATTAATTTAATTTAAAAAATAAATTAATTTTTATTTATAATAATTAAGGATAAAATTAAAATGTTATTATTATGTGTTTTTATTAAAATAATTAATTTTTTATTATTTTCTTAATTTAATTAAAAATATTTTATATATAAAAAAGGGGAGCATATAATGAGCACTCAAACTGCATCCACTTATTCGTAGGCAATCAAGACCACTGCCTTAATTGATATTTCACGTGCCCATCATTCGAGAGTAAAGAATCTGCTACAGCATTGAAATGCACAGGCCACCATTAATTTGCGGTCAACCAGTGGAGAATGATGATCTTAGAAGTCTTTTTTAAAATGTGATACAGTAAAATGAATGCAGCTTTGCTGTAACTAAATCATCGATCCATTTCCCATAAGATTAATGTTAACTTTGCTTTAATCTTTAGTCGTGTCTCTTTGTGCTTCTAGCTTGAAAATGAGTAGTCTCGCCCCGCCTAATATGACTTTACAAAAAAGAATGTATCAAGTAATGTGTCTCAATCATTCATCCTTTTCATTTGGAGAATTATATTCGTCGACTTTAAAAAGACATTTGCTTATCCAAGCATGGACAACTATATAGATCATTTCAAGTATTAGGTAGCTCATTTTAGAAACTAAAATAACTATTTATCAAAATGAAATGGTAGAGTATTGTATTGGAAATGAACTAAGAAGCATTCCGTCTGATTTTAGATATAGGATCTAGTTGAAGAATTTGCTTAATATTAAATTTAAGACCTCCATCAAGTTTGTCTCCGAAATTTATAATTACTACTCCCCCAAATTATCCCTATATATTCATTGCCACATTACAAGGGGTTTTCCAACTTTCCATTAATGGGTTGGTTTCCATGCAAATGATTTCAAGGGGTATTTTAAGAAAGCCAATTCACATTTTTCTATCTTGGTTTTGCAAATTGATGTAGACATGACTTTTTATGTTGATTATGATTGAAAACTGACATAGATAATAAAACCGACGTATTTCTACATCAATTTTCATATAACCGTTCTAGAAAATATCTTTTTTTAAAAGAAATATTTTTTTTTTGTATTTTCTTATTAATAGCTTGAACTTAAACTTGCAAGACAGCAAAAGTATTTATTTGGAAAATGAACTAACTGAAATTAACAATACAAAATAAATATAACTAACATTATATTCTGGCAATCTAAAATTATTTCTTACCATGTACTACTCTGATCTTATTTATAAGTTACTTCAAATATGTTTCACCAATGTCAAAAAAAACCTTAAAATTCATTAACTTTGTCTTAAGATTTAATAAGTTATCAACTTTATTCTTATTAAATATACACACTTCATAATATATTTTTTCTCTCCAACATTTAATAGAGGATAAAAAAATTTATAATAAAAATTTAATGATATAACTTATAAGTAGTATCAAAAAAATTCTTTTCTTTTTATCCTATAAATAGGAGTAGAGGGAGTAGCTTGTAGGTATGATAAAATCCCACTTGCAAGTAACTCCTTTAATTTTAAAGACATTAATTAGCAGCTCTGAATGTTCTTTCTCCGTAGCGCTTTAATTTACTTTTCACTTGTACTTCTTAAATCCCATGTCTGCAGAGCTGCAAACCGTAGTAATACCTCTTGTTTCTGCTGTTCTCAAAATTCCTGAACAAGGTCTCGAGCACATGTCTCTGTATGCCTCTGAACCCTAGCTAATTTAATATGGAGATGGTTAGTTTATTTGTTTAAGATATAAGGATTTGAGCAATAACTATGGAGTATTAAATACTATTTAGCCAGATTTTATTATTGTTAGGAAGTTAAATCCAAATGTTTTTTAAACTTAAAAGCTAGCTGGCACCAAAAATGAAACTAAATCGAGATGAGAAAAAAATAATGAAAATTAATTTTAGAGTTTAAAAATGTTTTTATATATTTAAATTGGAAAATAATGAACAAGGCTTCAAGTAACATTAGTAATTGGTTTCATTGGGCCTGATCGACTGCAAAAATTGGGCTTTCATAGCATTTGGGTTCACTTCTTTCATGTATATATCCACAAGGGTGTCTTCTCAATTGTCACTGCAAATCAATTGACCAAACTAGAAAGCAGAATAATCATCAATTAACCAAACTAGAAAGCAGAATAACTTGAGAGCCGATGAACCGTGCCGGCTTGTGAGGGATTCATTGTACAGAATGAATATTGCTAAATAGAATGGCTCAAATGAATAGTGATGGCTTGCATTTGGGCTGCGTGCATTTTTATATCAATTCAACTTCCCTCCTAAATTTGAAGCACAAGTATAT